CCCCAAAACCCCAAAACCCCAAAACCCCAAAACCCCAAAACCCCAATTCAGATTAAAATTTTTGATATAAATTTTGGATGTGATATTTTAAAATTTAAATTCGAAAATGAACACAAGTCATTATTCTTCTCCGCCCAAGCAAGAAGGAACTGTAGATTTCAATGACTTTTTGGAGTATTATACTTATGTATCTGCTCTGTATGATAACGATTTGGATTTCGATAGGATGCTAACCAATACTTGGAATGTAGGGACTAACACAAACCCTGCTTCAATTCCTTATGCTGGGATTTCAAAGACGATTACAAAAGTCAATACTAAAGAGCGGTGGTTGAATGACCACCACCGTGCTATTATCCATGGGAAGGAGCAAGACCCAGTGAACCCTCACACTTCTGACTTCAAAGTTCCATATATGCCTCCCAAACCAACTACAGATCCTGTGTTAATGAGGCCAGCTGGAAAATTAACTTTGCATGACTACGAAGTTCCAGACAATGACTCCCAATTTAGTCCGGAAAGCTATAAACATGAGCCTCAACATTACCAAGATCCTTATTATAAGTCTGTGCGTCAACCTGAGTCTAAACCAAGAGGACATGAATACTCCAGGCCCAGTCCTCCAGAGAAAAAGTATGATTATGGGGGGAAGCAAAACTCATTTGAGAGTCCAAAGAAGCCACACCCAACTAATTTCCCGCAGGATTATAGAGAGGATGATGTAGCTTCACAATATAGCCATCAAAGTGAGCGTAGCATGCATTCGCATCATTCAGGATATTCACACCATAGTCAGAGAAGTATTCAGAGTCATGCTTCGCATGCTTCTCAGTACTCCAGTAGTAGAGGCTATGAAGAGCCTCAAGAAAGCTATCAGAGAAGAGGTTACGCTGAGCAACCAGATTTTTACCATCCAAAGCAGACAACTGAATATGGGGGATATAAAGGTAGCAGGTATTATTAATAAATAGCTCAATCTTAGATCTCCAATAAGGGGTTTTGGGGTTTTGGGGTTTTGGGGAG